GGCACACTGCGATGATGGGAGCCAATGGGAAAGAAGAACAGGCCTGGGCTAGGAGGGTTGTCAGTGTCAGTGAGGTGTCTGCAGCCCTTGGCAGGTCATGCAGTGGTGTTGAGGGTCGCCGTACAGAAAGACATTGGACAGTTTTGCTTTCATTTTTACAAAGTTCACCAGTAGCAATAAGGCATTTATCATCTTTTCTGTCTCACATATTGCAGGCTGGAATGCCGCACGTCGCTGTCGCTATCGCACATACAAGAACGGAGCAAATACTTGTTCCTATAATAAGAGCATTACTATTATTACTATTTGAACTACTGTGTTCTTTGTGGCTTGAAGGAATGCTATACCGTTGACATGACAAACTCGACTTTGTTCGGGTCGAGTTTCTTTCACGTTCGTCAACCCTACCAAATTGCTGTTGTTTAAGAGAAAAAGACGGTTGTGCTGGAATTGCGAGCAGCGCGCTGGCAAGAAATCGGTTAGCATCGCTCCAGGGCGGCACCTCGTCTGGGCCAGGTGTCGCGGACGGTATGCCTTTCCAAACCTCCCGGGCGCACGCAAGCGGCACCAGCCTCGCGCTTCGGTAGCTCGTGCTTGGCTCGCTTACAAGTCGAGGCTTAACGTTATTAGTAGTCCTGCTTTACGACCAGTCCGAAGTCTTGCCGGTGATGACGACACCTCGGGTTCGGGCGACATCGACGCGCTCGCCCGAATGCTCAGCCAACAGGCTGCTAAGGTCCGTGCATCGATCGGTGACGAAGAACTACGCAAGAGCTACGACGGCTTTGACGATGTGACAAGAAGTGGCGTGTTCGGTCTGCAGGTGTGCGTGCTTGCGCGCCCGCGGTGATTGCGACGGCGCGAGTGGTAAAATCACGAAGCTGATGGCCCCCGGCATGCGTTTGGAACCCTGTCCTCAATCTTTGGTCGTGCGACTGCTGCTACTGCTGCTGTGTTTGTTGGCCCGCACAGCAAACAGCCGTCCCGACCCCACCTAGCCCAGCCCAGCCCGTTGCCTGCCAACGCTACCCCGACCTCCTCATACACAAAGTAACTAGCGACTAGCGGTACACGCACACCCCTTCAGCCCAGAGCTCTTCAAACCTCCTTTCACTTGTGTGTAGCCCCTGGTGGAAGCCACAAGTTTGCAGAAGGCTACGTGGGCGATTTCACTTATCCAGGGGAAGGGGGGTTTTCACTGCCGTAGACATGTGCATGTACCCAGTACGGCGGCAGGGAAACTGGGGAGGGGACCGGGAAGACAACGGCTCCCGCTTTCCAGTCTTTTCTCTCCTCCTCCTCATCATCATCATCCTCCTCCTCATCATCCTATGCCGGGAATGGTGTACGGGCAAATTCCTTGCCCAGCCATACGCCCAGGATTTCCACCTTCTCCTCCTCCTGCCCCGCGTACGTCTCTGCATCTGACCCCGCGCTCAATCACCCGCGCCACCGCCACCGCCACCGTCACCTACCACCCGCGCTCGGCCGCAAGCTACTGGGGCTCCCAGGAGCTCCGCCCGGGCCCACCGCTTTCTCCTCCTCCTCCACCTCGCACCCCCTCTTCCCGGTGTCCCTCAGTCTCAGCAGCTGGAGGAGCGTGTGCTTCGTGAGATTGGTCCAGGCTTCTTTGACTCGGCCGATTTCGAGGTGCTGCAGCTGCTGGGTAGGATCAGTGTCATGCGGGTGAGCGGACGGGAGGGGGGAGGGGGAGGGGAGGAGGGAGGGGAGGAGGGAGGGGAGGAGGGAGGAGAGAGGGGGGGAGGGAGGGGAGGAGGGAGGGGGGGAGGGAAGGGGGGAGGGAGGGGGGGAAGGGGAGGGGAGGAGGG